AATTATTTTATATGCATGCATGGTATGTTTCCTGTTCTATTTTGAAATTAGGAGGAGTCTGGTAGGATCTTTTTAGATTTGACAAATTTTATTACAAGGCATAAGCTTTCATGAATTACAGCTCACTTCATTGGATACCTCTAGTTTCTTGGTAAGTTTTATGGATCCATCCAGCTGAACTGAGTGCTTCTCATTGTAGCCAGAAATCAAGAGTCTGGTAGCATCTTTTTATACTAGCTTAAAAGTCAGCTTTTAAAGATATAGTTCAAGAAGGTTTATGCCTTTTAATACATTTTGTTAGTCTAAAAAGGTACTACAGTAGCCTTTCTGATTTTTGGCTACCATAGACTTCCACAAGCTCTCCCCCTATGTATTTTGAGAAATGTATAGACATAAAATGGTCTTAATTAGCATGTTACTTAAAAAAAATACTTTAAAAAATGAAAAGCTAAAGGATGCTCATCCCACAATTCTTGTTAAGTATAAAATGTATGAGTTTGCTTTTCTAACAAGGGTTGAGCTCCACATTCCTAGCATCAGAGGGTTTAATGGGAAAAATAGTATAGTCTTCTCTTTTGAAATCATTGAGAGTTACAAATGCGTGGCTGGCTTACTTTGATTTCTGTAGAAATGCTGTGCAGTTTTATACTGTAAATTTCTGGTTATAAGTTCAGAAGGTTCTTCCAAGTCATTTTCATATATTATTATAAAAAAAAACAACTGGAACATGGAGTAATTGCATATTTGTTTTCTTTTTTCTTCAGATGTACTTGCACCTCAGTATCCCTGGCAATCAAGTGACATGTCAATGAACATGCTTCCTCCTAATCATAGCAATGACTTTATGTTAGAACCTCCTGGACATAATAAGGAGAATGAGGATGATGTAGAGGTTATGTCAACTGATTCCTCGAGTAGCAGCAGTGACTCGGATTAAGGACTGCATCTGAATCAGTTGATTATGTGCCAGTGAAAGCAGACTGTACATCATCATTATACACATTCTGCAGTCCAGATGATGGCTGCGGTACCAAGCAGGAAACTTACAAATTCATGGGAATCATTCTCTTGTATTTGATGAATATGAGTTTATTCCAGAGTTTCAGATAATTGTTGGAATAATGCTGGAGGTAGCCAATGGAAATGTGTTCTGGCACTATTCTGGTATGTGTTTACTCCTAAAAATATGTTTTTGCACAAAATATCTGTGAGAAGTTGCAAATTAGCTGTTGCTTGGGGGTACTTCTATAAACAGCAAGGAGGGAATTGTTACTAATTCCTTAATATATTTTTATGGTGGGTCTTCCAGTCTTTCAGAATGGATCTTCGAGCAGCATGAAAGGAGATGTGGGAGAGAATTCCATTCTACCCCATTAACAGAAGCATTCCATGAGCAAAAGTCTGCTAGTGGATCTCCAGATCTAATAGTCTTTCTGATTACATATCAGAAAGGATTAGGTATTTAGATGAGATTTCCCCAGCCTGGTACTTTCCATGTGCATTAGCTTGTAATATTCCACCAGCACTACCATTTCCTAGACTTTTTTGTGATGGGAGTTGTAGTCCAATATACATGAAGAGTACGAAGGTGTAAAAAACTAGTTTTGTATGAAATTTGCTAGTAGGATTCACTCACAACCATATTGTGTATGTTTATATCAAATACAAACAAACTAATTTTGTAATTTATTGTGAATAGGCCCTTTACAAATAAAATTTCATTAAAAATACTGAATTTGTAGATACTGAGCTGTATCACATAGGATTGTGAACTTTTTCCTTTATGAATGATTATTGTTTGTCCAACCAGACCTTTTATTAAAATACTGATTTTTTTTTTTTAAATGATATTGCCATACTGGGGAGGGGATGGTTGAAAAGTACCTTGACCCTCAGGCAGCACAAGTAGTTAGAAATCTATGTGCTCTATAATCATAAAGAAAAATACATTATTTGTAATCTCCTCTACCCTATCATTTGAAGTCTGAAATGTCTGAATCAGCCTGAACCCTTACTGAGAGAAAGCAGTAATACAGGAATTTGTGATAATTTATACTGATCTCATCATGATTTTGACTGCAAGACCTAAAATCTATTATAGAATTTGCATGTGTAACTTTGACCAAGCTAAGGGCCACATTTAGCTTTTGTGTGTACCATGTAGGGCATTGTTCTCCAAAGTGGGCAAATTCAAATTCAAAAGTATAGAGGACTGTTGAAAAGGTTTAAGTGCTAAAGAATGCAAATTAGTTAAGTGTGTTTGCTGAAAAATACCACCTTACACACTGTCAAACAGTACATTTATCCTCAAATTTCAGGTATTAAACTCACTTTTTAAATAATTTTCCTTCTATGCCATATCTAACACTATGATTTTAATGGTATTTTAGTAATCTTCAAAAATTACAATTTTCAGGCAGGTTAGGGGGAGACATTTTATCATCTTATCCCCAGGATTCTTAAATATCAGGTTCTTTAACTGGCTCTGAATGTTTAAAGTCAAAAGCATCCAGCACAGATGAGAGCCCCTGCAAAAGTGAGCCTGCTTCAGCCACTCTATTTTCCTTCCACTTGTATGCAAAGGATATGAAACTGCTGAAAAGGATAAAGCGACTAAGCTTTCTTCCTTTTTGTCTGGGTTGGTTCCAGTCCCAATTGGGCTACCATTTTTTAAATTGGCATAAAAAGGGAGCTGACCAACTGAACTGGCCAAAACATCTGTTCCCCGAGAACTTAAGCATGGTCATTTGGCATCAGATCAGCATAAGTCATTTACCATGGTTTCTGCAAGACTCAACGTGTCAGGGGAAACTGGACCTTGAGTCAAACTGGGTATTTACCTTACCCAGGCTCTACTTGTCATTTGAACCCAGGGAGGAGTTACTTTGAAGTTAGCACCCTTCCTAGTCTCCAGAAACACGAAGCTACAGTAACTGCAAAATGGCACTGCTCAAACTACAAGCGCTTTCCCAGAATTAAGGGCTCCATCATGTTTTTGTTTGCTTGAACAGTACAGGTAGTCCTTGCTTAATGACTGTCTTGTTTAGTGATTGTTCAAAGTTATAGCACTGGGAAAGTTAATTTTACAACTGGTCCTCCCACCTAATGAGTGTTGCAGTGTCCTGCGGTCATGTGATCACCATTTGCACGCTTCACAGCTGGCTTCCGACAAGCAGAGTCAATGGAAAAGCCAGCAGTAAAATTGCAAGTTGTGGTCACATGATATCTTGCTTAATGACGGAGTCCCAGTTGTGTTCATTAAGCAACAACTACCTGTATTTTTAACAGCAAGCTACATCCATCAAATATGCCCCAAGTCTGGCAACCAGAGCATATGCAGGTGGTGGTTTTGGTTCTCAGTCTCAGAGATCAGAGACAAGGAATTGTGAGATCGTGGTGAAGGGAAAGGTAAGGAGGTCAAGGGAAAAGGGAGAGAGAAGTGGCAGCAGATGATCCTGTGTGGACGCCAAGGGCGATGGGATACTTCAGCAGTAGAAGCTGAGGAGAGCTCAGAGAGAAAGAGCGTGGTGGAAAAAGGGCAGGCTTTTCAGTAGGAACACTAGGGACTTGACCTTCCCTGTGAGCTAAAGGAAGAGGTAAATTTTAAGAAAACCTGAGTATTAGGAAGGGATTTAACCATCCTGAAAACCCATGTTTTTCTTAAACCCTAATTTATTTATTTAAATCAGAATTGGCTGGATCTTCACATTAGGCCAAAATTTAATCATGATTTAAGCATAATGTGTGAATTCAGCCTGTTTGGGTTGGGATTTCACTTGTACTGGATCACATATTCCCAACTATCTGAGGTTACCAGGGTGGTTTCCAATCTTTTTCAGTCTTTGGTCTTTGTCTGTTGGGATCCCTTACTAGAATGCTGCTCATGTCAGTTTTAAGTAAAAAATAACACTTTCCTCTTGGATCCCAGTCCTCTGCTAATTTACTTCTCCTTTTCTTCATTCTAATTACAGGTAGCCCTTGACTTGCAATGGCAATTGGGACCAGAATTTCCATCGCTAAGTGATGCGGTCATAAAGCACAATTGCACTGCTTAGCGACTGCATCGCTTAGCGAGGGCAATCATTGCAGTCCTGGTTGCCATCATTAACTGAATTTCACGGTTGTTTGGTGAAGCAACTTCCTGCCGGCTTCCCACAATCAAAGTCAACGGGAAGCCGGCAGGAAGTTGCAAGTCCCAGGCTTGCAGGTGGGTAAGTGGCTGCTACCAGGTAAGGGAGTGAGTGAAGGGGTGCTGGGAAGGGTTGGGTAGGGTGCACAAGAGGCACAGTAAGGATGCAAGGGGGTACACAAGAGGCACAGATTGGAGAGGGTGTGTGAGGGTACACGCAAGAGGTGCCGCATAGATTGGGGAGGGTGCACGGGGATGCAAGACGCTGCGTGGGCTGGATGAATGGGGGTGCACAGGAAGCACCAGGGAGGGTACAAGGTGGGCACAGGTCAGGGAGGGTGCGTGGGGGTGTGAGAGACACACCGCATGGGTTGGGGAGGGTGCGTGTGAGGCACTTTGTGGGTCAGGGAGGGTGCAAGGGGGTGTGCAAGAGGCACCATATAGATCAGGGAGTGTGCACAGGGGTGCATGAATGGCCAGTGCAAGTGCAAAGGGGGTGTGGGAGAGTACATGGATCGGGAAACTTATCCCAGTGACTTGTGACCTTCCCTGCCAGCTTCCACATTGACTTTTTGAGGTTGGAGAAGGTTGCAAATGGAAATTATGTGATCGCAGGGTGCTTGGCAACAGGTTGTAAGTGCGAATGGGTTGCCAAGCACCCAGATCACTATCATGTGACTGCAGGGGTGCTGGGACAGCTGGAACTCCAAGGACTGGTCGTAACCACATTTATTGGGCGCTGTCGTAACTTTGAACTGTTGCTGAACGAATTGTTGTAGGTCGTGGATTACCTGTATCCCAAAACCAGAGGCTTTTTATTTTATTTAAAAAGAATCTGCCTGAAAAAATGACAGGCTCGGTTCACATGACATGGATTTTCATAGTTCAATATGGTTTATTCAGTTAACTGAACCACAGAGGTATGGTTCACACAAAACACTAAGCTAACATGTGGCTGAGTAAGTTTTGGTTCAACATACCGTGCAAAAGTAACCATAGTAGAAAACTGAACACAGTGTGGGCTATATAGTTGCATAAAACATGTGGTTTTTCCCATGCTGGAAAGAAAGTTTTGAGAGATTCTTCATGATGAAAAAAGAGAACTTCCCAAGCTGATAGTAATTTCTCTTCTTGCCAATGGTACTTCTCCCAAGTCAGAAGACAGCAAAGCAGTTTAGAATGGGAAGTCACTTTAAAACATGGATCTTTGTGATTAGACTGGATAATATCAATTATGGGGGCAACCACAATTATTTTGCTATACAATTATTTTTTCTACAGAGCAAAGGCTGCTCAACAAGTAACATAAAATATACAGTATATGATGCATTATTGCAGCTGCTTTGACTAGTAGCACATTACCTTAAACTACCATTAAGCATGCATTAACAGGTGCTTACTAGTGTACATCTTTGTATTAAAATCTTATTTGTTATGATAGAGAAAGAAAAATAATCTGTGAGGCTAAATGTCAAAATACAGCTTTTGGAGGGAATATGATTAGTGCCAGTCATGCAGTAGCGACAGAAGTTCGTTCCAGACATGTAGAGCAAGTGTACAACTGGTACTGATAGCAAAGGTCTCTTTTCACAGGGACCTACTGGCATGCTGTATGTTTTAAATCCAGAAAATTTAACTGTTTCATAGGTTTCCAGTGTACCCCATGAGGTGATTTAATTCTTCTTTGAAAGGATTATAATTTTGTTCTCTTAAGCAGCGTAGAGGCCAGAAGAGTTTATCAGCTGATGGAAACTCATCCCATTTTACCCATTCCCAACCTACAAAAAAAGAGAGAACAGAAAAGTTTCAGCATAAGTATTAAGTTAATGTACCAATTATTGCCAGGATGAAGTAGCACCAGACCTGGGACTGGGAGTTTCTAGAGCTAGAAAATCATTGGAAAGTAGTGAACTGCTAAAATACATACAGTACAGTGTTGTGATACAAAGACATAATACTGCTTTTTTAACCCAGAACACAAAAGACCAGTACTGCATCATTTTTAGAAGCTCCATGTGGCCATGACAGTTGAAAGTGGTGTACATAATGTTCAATTTTAAAAAAGAAAATTAAAAGCAAAGCATAAGAATATATTAAAAACAAAGAAAAAAATACTTGTGGCTTTCATACATCTAAAACATAGGCACCTCTCAAGAGGTGAAGACCTGTTGCATGCAGGTGGCAGCATAGGTAAAGACTGATCCCTAATGGTCATCCAAATCTATACCGGGGAAAGTGATCCATTGTTTACCCTGATCTCAAACTCTTTGAAATGGCTGCTTAATTAAGTACAGTTGCTTCAATAACACACATAATATAGCAGCCCTAAAGGATCAGATCAAGAACCATCGTAATCCAACATTTTGTTTCTCATACTGGCTAACAAGATGGCCTTGGGGTCCTCATGAGCAGCAGATGGAGACAAACTGTCCTGCATAAAACTAGATTCAAGCATTCCTGCTATATTATTACATTTTAGTATAATATCTGAATTGCATCCCCGCAAAATTATTCTGGAGGCATACTGCTTGACACATGCTTTATTGCGGGAAGTTTAAAGGCAAACATTAAGCAGACAACTCAAACTGTAATACTGGGGCACATTTATAACCTGGATCCTGGAAATTAATTCAGCTCACTTCAAGATAATCAGATAAGCTTGAAGCCCAAGCCTTGCCTAGACACAGTATAAACAAATACTAGATGTAATTTGTGCTTTCACACAAGGAAACATGTTCAAATAGAAGAAACAAATTTATTTGTACATTATAGCTATACAGACAATATGGATACAGAGATTTTTCTAGCTAAGCAGTATTCCCTGGGGTTTAAAAAATCTTACTTTCATTTTTGTCAGGTTCCAGATTCTTTGGTTCAGATTCATGGTTCATATCAACCTCTCCTTTCATTAAGATGGTGACATAATGGTAATTGTCCTTTAAACTAGCAGCATTTACAATTGAAGCAAACTGCACATTCGTTAGATGCAAAGCGGCTTCTTCTAAGGTTTCCCTCTTTGCACATTCTACCAAGCTTTCACTGGACAGAGGAAAAAAAGGTAGGAATGAACTATTCAGAAAGGAAGAATGGGTCCTATCAGTTTGAAACATCACAAGAACAGTTTATATGACAACTAGCAGTCATTTACTCCGAATACAGTGCCTGAATATTTTTGTCCAAGATAAACTTTGTTTAGCCTTATTCTCAGAGAAATGGGTGTCTTGTCTGTAAAGGAGCAATAGGAATTTATTTTCATTAATTCATTTTCTGTGATCCAGCATAATTAATGACATCTGTAAAGCCCTTTTGCATGTTGAGGTAGTGGAAAATCTTTGATGTTTCAGTACCCTGATATTGTTTCTTTTCTTATTTATTGTACTTTTATACTAATCCTTAAGAGGTTTTCTCTGGGAAGCATGTAATCAAATCTTCTCCCCTTTGTGTTTTTGCAAAGGTTGAAAAAGGAAAATAGGGAAAAAATGCTAAATGTGAGAAAGCCCAACAAATTTGCAAAGCCACTAGAAAGTCAAGCAAAGCTTCCACATCTCATTGTTAGAATCAAAGCGTTTCCTTCCCCTCAGTTCTGTGCTCCAAGGAAGACCAGTAGCAAAATTCCCTGTTTTAGTTTAGCTAATAACTAGCACTGCCAGATTTGGGCTACAAAAATATAGATGGCCACTAGATGAGAGAAAATTAGTTTACTGTATCTCTGTTACCACTTCGTGCAGTGTTTTACAACCTAAATCTGGTAGCTTTACCATCAATAAAAGCCTTAAAAAAATTAACACTCAACGTAGTTAAAACAGTTACTGATACCAAGAACAACTGACCTCTTAGCTGCTTACTTCCTTTTTCGCCTTCCTTCCTTGCCCCGGCTCCATGGGGCTCACGGCTTTTTAAAATTAATATCGAGCGTTCATTCAGAAGACATCCCATCTATGACAGTTTATTTAATCCGGTGTTTTTCAAGTTTGGCAGCTTCAAGATGTGGGGACTTCCGTTCCCGGAATGCTGGCAGGGGAATTCCGGGAGTTGGAGTCCACACGTTAAAGTTGCCGCGTTTGAAGAACACCGATTTCAGCCCACGATTGACCCCCCCCCCCCCCCCCCCCGGTCCACACGCGCAGGAGCAGCGGAGCCGTGCGGCACTTTCGCCAGGCACGCCTTCAGCTCACCCAAACTCCAAGTGCCCTCCGGGAAGCTGGAAGGAGCCCCTCCCGACGACACTTCTCCGCTTGCCTAATAGGACGCAACCGGCATGCTGAAGGCTCGTGATCACCACCCCGACTCCGACCCCCGGACGTAGCCGCTTTTCCATGCCGGGTCCCGCAAGGCAGCGCTCGGCTTCACCCCGCCTCCCTCGGCCAGCCGGTCGCGCAGCCAATACGCGCCGCTCCGGGGCGGAAGTGGGAGAGGCTTTTGGCGGGCGCCTCAATGCACCGCTGCCGGTGGCAACTGCCAATTTGGTAGCGGAGGTTCAAAAGGGGTGATTATCTCGATTAAAAAAAGAAATAGCTTTTTTTAAAGAAGAGAAGCCGTCTTACAATCTCCACTAGGAATGAAGGGAAAGCTGCCTGCAAAAATCGACCGATCAAACAAGGGTGGTGGGTGCAAGTCTGCGTAAACAAGCATAAAATAATACCAGTAGGGGTAAAAATTCCGAACTTCACTTTAAAAGAAAGAGGCTGGCTCTGACTGCGCGAGGCACCCCTTATTACCTTAATCATGGTTTTCTCAATTTACTGGGTTTGCACAGTGCACTAAGCCACAAACTGATAACTTAGGATGGACTTGCATAAACCTCTCAACCTGAATGAAGCGCCCTTAGCTGATCTTGAGAAACTAAGCAGGGTCAGGCCTGATTAGCACGTGGGTGGAGGCCGCCAGGGAATTATAGAAGGGTAAGCTGGGCCTGCAGAGACGGAAAAAAAAAACAAGGTGGGATGACACAACATTTCTGCTCTGTTGCCAGAAAAAATACACGTCTGTGTTTCCCCAGGAGTTGAGCTCAACTGGATGGAGTCTTTAATTTACGGCTCAGGCTGTTTGTTATTCAGCCAAAGACGAAAAACGCATCTGTAATAGCAAACTACCACGAGCCATGGCCTAATTTAGTAGAAGTAAATGCCTGCACTATAACCCTGGAGGGGTGTATGTGCCTCTGTATGGCTGTGGGAATAAAACGAAATTAGGAGTCACTTTAATATTGCGCAGAGCTGGCTGGGCGAAAGTGGCTGGAACCAAGTTAGCTTTATGACCAATTGGAGAGCTGAGCGAGGGGGTTCACAGCAGCAATCTAGCCCCCTGCTCTTCGTCAGCATCGCATGTACAACCGGAGTGAAGGAAAACCTGAGCAGTTGAGGTCAAGTTCTGCGCTTCAGGCAAGCTTCCACAGAAGGCTCGCGGTCTGCGGGAGCCTTCGCCTCGCCTCTTGCGCAGAAGCTCCGACTTCTGGCCCGCCGAGGCTCGTTTCCGCTTGCCCTGCGGCGGAGGGCTGGCTGCTCCATTCGGCCGTCGACGCTGAGTTGGCTGGCTCCCTCCCTCCCGCGTCCTCCCCCTGCCTCTCGGCTTGCCTTGCTTGGTCGGGCGGGCTCGGCACCTGAGCGCGAGAGGGAGGAGGAGGAGGAGGAGGAGAAGCCGCGCAGAGCTGCCCCGCTCTACCCCTGAGACTCGGCGAGAAGGGAGCGGGCCTCGGATCTGCCGCCTTCGCTGCTGCTGCTGCCCGGCGCTTTGTTTCCCCTCTGAAGCCTTAGCGGAGAGCTTTCTGCAGCCATGGTGAAGGTCTCGTTTAACTCGGCCTTGGCGCAGAAAGACGCAGCCAGGAAGGAGGAGGAGGAGGAGGAAGGGGGACAGAAGGAAAAGAGCAGCTGCAGCAGCCAAGTGCTCATCTTGTCCCCAGACACAAAGGTGAGGAGACGGCAGCGCCAGCAAATGCTCCCTCCGAGCGCTGCAGGGCCAGAAGCAGAAATGGGGTCGTTTCTCCCGGGCGCGGACCAGCAGCTTGTTTTGCAAGCCGCGGCCTAAAAGCGCAGCTAGGAAGCGCTGCGCAGAGTTTGGAAGGAGGACGTAAAGCTGAGGGTTGGTCGTCCGGGGAGCAAGATGGGATCGAAACAAGGAGGTGCTGGGAAGCAGACTGTGGTGGCGGGGTTTCGCTTATATATAGGGCCTTGTTTAATGGTGAGGCTCTGGAAGTAGCGTTAGGCCGGCTGACGCTTTGGAGACGAACCTATTTCTCATAAGTCCTCAGTGTGCGGTAGTTCGGAGAGTTGCCGCGGAGCGCGACGGAGGTAAAGAGAGAGATATTACCTGAATTTTTGGCAGATCATTTTTTGAATCTAAAATGGCTGGCGTGCGAAGAGCCTTTAAACGTCACGGCCTCTTTTTATTTTTAGGTATTTTATTTTAGCTCAGTTACGCAGGACCGGATCGGCCTTGCATTTTTGCAGAATCCTATCTGGATTTTGCTTGGGTTCTGAAGCTAAGAGTTGGGCTTGGTTAGTACTTGGATGGAAGACCACAGGGAGCTCCAGGATTGCAGATTGAGCTGGGAATTAGGAAAAAAATAATCAAATTGTTATTATTATACAGTGGGTGCGGGCACCTTTAAAAAGTCAATCTAAATTGTTTTCAAATTTGATATTCTCGTTTATGAAATCTCATGAGATTCCAGCCATACTTTGGAAAGTTTTTTTTTTAATTTTGGATCCTTTGTGTACTATGTAGTTGTGCCAAGGGAAATTGTGAGTTTTAGTCCCACCTTAAGCAGGAAGCCAGCTGGGTGACTTTAGCCAGTCACTCCCAGCCCTAGGAAGAAGGCTGAGAGTACACTATTAATGAAAATTGCATGCACTTGTCTATGTAGTTGCCAGGCATCCAGACTGACTCAGAGGCATGGCTTACTTTTGTGAAGTCAGTGTGATTTTGAGCTGTGAGGATTTGAACCTAGATCTCTTTTCAGTGCACCATTAGATCCTCTATGACTGATCATACAACACCTGTTGTTTAACCCATTTTCTGGATTTATGCAGTACATTGAACCATGAACTAACCAGATATGCTGGGGTTATACAACATTTCATCCTGTAATGGTGTGTGAGGGAGACAGGAGGAAGAGCCCCAGCCTAGACAACTGCCTGATAAGAGAAATCTGATAAGCAAGTTGGAAGGAGGAGGGGTGGAGAAAGCATTTCAGAAAGGACCCTCCCTAGTTTTTGAGAGAGTAAGAGACAGGAGAGGTACTTTCAGACTTGCGGGATTCTGTTAATATAATCTTACTATAAAGATAGAGCTAGTATTCATTGTTGTGTTTCTTGTTTGAAGGGCTAACATAACCAAAATGGGGGAAGAAAACTTGTAATGTTAAAACTAACAAAGCTTAGCATGCTGTATGTGTGCAGCCATTAGTTCTTTAAGTGATCTGGTTAAGCGTGGGTGTGAACGAAGACACTACAGTATATCATTCAAATTCTTGGCTGCCTTTCATCCAGATACTGTAACTTACATCAACCTAAAATATGCCATTTGATCTAAAGAGAGTCACAATTGTGACCATTTGGAATTCAAATTAGTCCAAAAAAATGAGGGTCAATCTTGATAGGTAAGAGGTTAAAAATGGTGTCATATGTACTCCTGGAACCTAAGATTTCTTAGAATTTCTTCTGTACTTTTGAAGGAGGTTTGTTGTTCAGGGGACAACAGGCCAGATGGAGAGAAGAGGCTTCAGACAATGGAAGGCTATCTCTTTTTCGGATTATTCCTGGCCAACAGTACTTGGGCAATCACATCAGTCTGTTGCCTCTTCCCTGGTGGTGGTGTTGCTGAAAGAAGACTGAGCTCTGAATGCTCTGAGGTAGTGATACTGGAAGGCTTCAGTGTCCCTGCAGAAGCTGCCTTGGGCTCCTGGTTTTGTGTTTGTCATGACTTACTCTGACTATCATAGAGCTGTCCCAACCCTTTGTCAGGGACTCACTTGCATGAAGGCTTTTCTCAGTGGAGCTCCTTGCCTGTGGAGATGTTGCAAACTTCTACGATTCAGGTTCACCCAGGCCATTGGTTTCCACTGATATATTTGTTTTTTCTGTTCTTACATTTTTATATGTCATCCTTTTTAAAATTATGTAATCTCCATATGATTGCAAAGTCTATTTTAAAGACACTTATTTCTATTTGTATATGTCATATTAATGTTTTACAGTATCTTTTAATAAAGTATAATGTAACATGTTCTGCTGACTTTTAAGGTAAGTAGAAATGTGTTGTGGCATCTTGAGAAGTCTATTAGATCTACTAATAAAGCAGTAGCGATATTAATTTTGAAAACTTTTTGCTCACAGACAATTGTCCTAGCAAGTAAGTACAAAAGTCAGGTGACTGTGTTATGACAGGAGAGACAATGGCACAGGAGACTATCATTCATTCATTCTCATAGCCTTACAGTATATAAGGTGGAACTGGAAGGCAAGAATTTGCATCTTAATGGCTGTGTAAGAGCATAATGCATAGCTAATTATGGATGATCACCCATATCCTGTAAACAAAAGTTTTGCAATGGAAACAGCTTCTTAGGGAGTAGTGAAAAGGAAAAAAATAAAACACTCTAGCCCCTTTATAAGCAGAGTGTAGCATAATCACAGCTTAGGGTTTGAAGACATTCCTTGAACATGCTAAAGTGTATAGTTACTGTCTGTAGGTTCATGAGACTATTAAACCACAAACTCTCAAATCACATTTTATCATAGGATGTTGTGAAAATGTGGTCTCTGTGGTGACCTTACAGCTCAGTGGCTGTGTGTGCACAATAATCACAGGCCTGTAAAGTACTTATGTAACTGGCTGCCTCAGTTGTAATGGGAGGGGCAATCTTTGATAGCATCCTAACTTTGTATTGAACAGAAATCTGTGACTTCCTGCTTTTAACAGAAAAAACAAACCTGCAGTGCCTTGATCAAGGTAAGAGCCATTATGAATGAAGTACAGGAGGCTTGATGGGGGGGGAAGCATTGTTTTGCCTTCGTTAGTCTTGATTCTTGGCAACTACATGGATACTTCCTGGGGATTTTTTATTGTTTTTACATATTTGAAAATGGTTTGCCCTTGCCTTCTTCCTAGGGCTTGAGAGAGAGTGACAAGACCGAGGGTATCCACTTGATTTCTGTAGAGAAAGCAAGTCTAAAACATAGGTCTGCCTGCTCCTTGCGTCTTGACCACTAGACCAAATTGGCTCTCCCAGTCAATCCTTAGTAACCCATTTCACCCTATATGCATACCCACATATGTATTAAAAAAGATTGCTTACCCGAAGAAATCCTGCTTTTGCAGGCCTTCTTTAGGTTCCCATCTCTGTATCTGAGGCCTGAAGGGAGAATTAACCATCTGGATTCATTTGGGTAAGTAATCTACAATTAATCCAGGTATTATAGTGTTATTTGACCCAGAAATGACTGAATTTCTGGGTTTGCATGATGTGCTGAACCTTTAAATGACTCATTTAAGCGTGTTTTGTGGGCTTAGTATTTAACCTTTAAATGACTCACTTAAGCATGTTTTGTGAGCTTAGTATTATGGAAACCCATAGATTTGGGTTAATTTCATAAACTATTATTTACCATGGAGAAGTGTGTTATGCAAACACAGCTTGTAGTTAAATGTTTTGTAAATTAGACTGCTTCACAAAACAGCCCAACTACTTTCATTACCTTTCATTGGCAAAGATAACTAGATGGCTTGTATGTGTATGGCTTTAAGTTATATCTCTGTTGTGATCAAAAAGTAAGGGATTGCCGGAGCTGTAGTTCAAAACATTTGGAATAGTGTTGCATGCTATTGTGCAATAGTGCAGATGCAGAAAAAATAAAGTTAATCTTGTGAGACTTCTATGCTGTCACTCCAAGCAAGGATAAACCTAGTTAGTACTGGAAGGATAGACCCCAGGAAATTCCAGGGCTGTTAGACTAGAAACTTAAACAAAATCCTGGAGGAAAGCAATGGCATACCAAGAAATCTATATGGATGCATCTATGATTTCAGCAAGAGCTGATCTTAACTTGAAGATTTTGTCTAACATCATCTGATACAGTTTAAAGTGCTTTCACTCTGTCTGAGATTCATTGATCCTATACAGTATAATCCATTATCTAGAGTGTTCTTCCCAGTTTCCTGCCCACATAATTTGAATGTCTCCGCAGTTGCAGGTACCTGCATGTTGAATGTGAATGTCTGTAGCAGAGAAGCCTTCACATAGACATCTGGGTGCATGTGGGTCTCCATGTGTGTTGGGGGTCTGGCATTATCAAGTTCTCAATCGTGTAGCTTGATTGCTGCAGACCTTCATCCTAAATGTGTGAATTTTTGTAGCAGCTAATGTCATTTGAGTGTGGGAGTGTGTGTGTGTGTGTGTGTGAGAGAGACTGCATAGAAAAACCAGAACGGAATATGATGGAACACATAATTTACTCAGGATTGCTAGTTCACCAAGATGGTATTACAAGTTCGTTCTATCTGATGTTAACTCCTTCTAGAAATTAATAAAAGTATTTTACATTTTATGAAGTATCTCCAAGACATTAATTTAAAAAATCACTTTGGAATTATCTAGCCTTTTCATAAAACTACCAAGAGTGAATGGGAAGACTGGTGCTCCTTCAGATATTGTGGTCCCCAAATACGAAGGGCTTTGTTGGTTAGTAATGACACCTTAAATTGAAATTGGAAATAAACACAAACATGGTGTAACATGATCATACTGAGTACTTCTGTAAGTTTTCTTGGTTACCTTTTTTTCTGTTGATTGAAGTTTCGAGATTGTCTTCCACAGCAGCCTTGTACATAATGCATTATATTAATCTAGGTAAGCAGTCACCAAGACATGGATTACTCAAGTGACATTAAATTACAGTACGAAGTTGCTACTCAAAGAAGACCGTTGTTTTCATTTATGGAGTTCTGTTCCATATTTATGCTCATAATTTTATTTCATAGTGCCTGAAAACTTCATGGTCAATTTCTTTTTTATAATGAAAAAAATAATTACATTTGTAGCCTTATGAAACTTGGGATAGATAAGTGAAAAAGTTTTTGCTGATGGAATAGCTTCTGCTTGAGAATGCAATTCCACCTGCCTCTTAAGAAGGGGGTTTGAGGATTCTGTGGAAGATTTGGTGGGTATGCAAGGTGGAAAAGAGGATGAGAAAGGAAGCCTGTTCACAAAACATCAACACAAGTGGTCACTATGTCATACCTACAAGATGTAGCTGGATATGCCTCACTATTGATTACTATTTTCTTTTGTGACTTCCTAGGATCCAGAAGAAGTGGTGCCTCTTGGACAAAGAAGAGCTTGGTGTTGGTGTATGTGTTTTGGATTAGCTTTTATGCTTGCTGTTGTAATCCTTGGTGGTGCCTATCTGTATAAGTATTTTCAGTTCCAGGTAGGATGAAAATATATGAACAAGCTTTAAATGTCTTTGTTGGTAGTTTACTAGAAATTGTCCAACTTGGCTTGTCAGCTTAAGTCTTAATATAAGGTTAATTTTAAATATTTTTTTAAACTTACCTGAGAAAATTAACTCCAACACAACATATACTTTAAATACATTTGGATTTCAGCTTAATATTAGGAAAGATTTGCCAGTGCCCTTGCTGTGAAAGTTAAGTCTCTTGGGATATCTCCTCAGTTTTTCAGCTTGTAAAAGAGGTTTCTTACTAATTTTAGGTAGAAAAGTTGCAAATGGTAAATATATGTACTTGCTTGTTGTCCCTGAAGAAAACATTCTCAATATATTTTTTTACCTGAATAAAATAGTATGTCAGTAATGGAAACCATTTATGGTTTCTGGGTGAAATGTAAGCTGTTGATTCCGTTTCATATTAAAGAGAGAGAAAAAAATCAAGGTGTTTTTATTTATTTGTGATGTTTATCTCATCTTCCCTTCAGACGCTCAGAGCAGCATTTTTGTCAGTTCCCAACTCTTTTACTTGTAAGGCTTACATACCAAACATAAGAAGAGGGAGACAAGCAGCAGCCAAGACCTTTGTCCTTCTTCTCCCATGTAGCAGCAGGTGTTATGTTAGCAGAAAGGAGAAGTTCTACTGCTCTTATTTGTTCTGTGGGATATGCCAGGGGCTTTTGGGGAGGACTGAAGAGTTCAGTTCAGAGGGAAGGAGAACAGAGACCTGAATTGCACACAGAACATCAGCCAGGCTCAGAAGGACAGCTATCCAACCAACCTTCAGCTCTTCTTTCTCGCCTAGAAAGGAAGTTACTTCTCTGGATGCACCAGTTTGTTAGAGCTCTTCAATAGCATATTTTTTCTGTCATTCTGCTGTGAATTGCCTAGAACCAAGATTCAAAAGCAGCAGATTTAGCAACTGCTGCTGTGTTTGTCTGGATTGCTAAAGAAGCCACAGCTCTGGTCAAATCTAGGAGTAAGTCTCATTGAATCCTGTGCAAATTATTTCTGAGCAGATCTTCATTGTATTGCATGGTTAGAGTCCCAAGTGACCTCATGCTTGATGTGATATGTAAACCCAGTCATAGTGTTTATAAAACATAGTTTAAGGCTCCTTCTGTTTTGTAAACACAGATTATTGTGATTTATTTAATCAGCTATGGTTAAAGATACTTTAAAAATACTTCTCAGCCTAGGGGATATGGCAGACATGTCCAATAATGAGATGATATAATCAGGAAAGGGAACAATTTTAGGAGGAAGGGGTACCTTGCAGAAGCTTAGTGCCCACATTTTACTATTTGGGGAGTCAACATCTGCTGCTGAAAATTGGCCACTTGATCTCTGAATTACAGCTGCAGGATCTCAAGGTGCTTTTAGGGCTGCAAATTGGGTTCTGGGTAGGTGCTGCTACATATTGTTTATAGGCTGCATGGTTACTCACCCCAGCTTAGAAAGATCTTTGAATCCACTAGCTATGGGAACCAGGCCAATGTTGGAAAGTTAATTGAAGATTACAGGATATAAAATTTATTTGAGTATTTGATCTGTATCTTCATCTGCCATCTTTACAGAATTAATTCAATTTTCCAATCCCATGGGCTGGGTTTGCACAACACATTAGGCTAAAACAGAGTTTGTGGCTCTGTTTCATGCAAACGTAACCACTGGAACTAAAGATGTGACTCAACTTTGGATTCATTTTGCTCATAGTTTGGTTCTGCATTAGCAAAAGAGAGGCAATATTCATCACAAAGTTAGAGTGCATTTATATGACTTGCTAAGGAATGTTGGTTGGTTAAATTAAACTGCCTGCTGCCATCTTGATCTCATTCTGTTGGCTATGTAATAATTGCTAGTGGTTGACCTGAACTTCAGCATATCATCTAAAGCCAAGGCAACCATCATTTCCAGCTGCCACTAACTAGAATTTGAAATAAACAAATTCTATAAATAAGTTTTGTAGACTGGTGGCTACAAAATAGTCTGACCCAGATGCCTGGGTGATTTCTGAAAAGGCTTGGTTATTTTTCTACCTTGTTTGTCAGCAGTACTCTTGCGGTCCTGGCCAATTGATAGACCATGTAGATGTTCTGGATGGTTGATACTATCATTCCTAAACACCTTTTTCCATATAGCCCTTAAAAAATCTCCCAAATGGCAAAAATAGGCAAGAACTGACCTGAAAACTGTTTGGAGGTGGCTTAATAGTGGGAAACAGCTTACCTTTCACAGGCTTCCTTTCCCATCCTTAAATTTTGAAAAAACAGTACATTACCAAAGTTTGGCATTTTTTGTTGGCAAATTTTGCTGATGCAGTCTGGATGTCCTAGGTAGAATATTGGAGTATCATTTGTGACCTGCAGAACACAGGCTAAGCCACAATACGGGTTCTTATTTTTATTTTTTGTTCTCTCTATTGTCTGAACCAAAGCCAAAATGGCTATGGCTCATCTGAGTTATGCCAATCTAGTCATTGGTTGATTTAATAATTAAGTAAATATGGTTTATCAGTTTGTATGAACCAAGCCTGAGTTTAACTGTAGTAATCATTACTTAATGGTTGGAAAGTACAGAAAGTTGTAAGTTCAAACTACAAAGTCTCTCTTCAGTTGATAGATAGTAGTTTTCCTCTGATGGTAAATTCTGCCCTGAATAAACTGCAGTATTATCCAATAGGCTTAAAAACAGAGTGGCTAGTCTTCAGGATTTGATATTTGGCAATGAAGAGGAGGGGGTCAATATATGTTACAATGAGGTTCATGAACTCCAAAGGTTTGTTTTGCATTGGCTTATATGTGTTTCCTTTGTCTTTTAGGAAAATGTTTACTTCTGTGGAATTAAGTATATTGAGGATGGCTTAACCCTAACGGAGCCAGATGCAATTGCTTCAGCTCCTCGTTATCAGATAATTGAAGAGAGTATCCAGATCCTCCAGGAGGAGGATGTTGAGTTCATTAGTGTGCCAGTTCCAGAGTTTGCTGATAATGATCCCGCTGATATTGTCCATGATTTTCAGAGGGTAAGGAATGATGCTCTGGACAGCACTCTAATGGGAAAAAAAGGAGCTTGTTGTGCTCATATTGAAGCTACTGATTATTTCAGATATCTTGGTTATTTTTATATATTTATTGATAGCTACACAAAGCAAGCCAAGGTAGGTCCTAGGGGGGATGAACTAAGAGGACAGTATAGATTGGTTAAAGCCTGCAAAGTTCTGTGTTCCCTAACTATTGTCACAGGTGAGGAAATAATTTAATTATGTAAGTACTAGTGGGTCTGCAGAGCAAAAGATTTATTGTATGCAAGCTTCTAAGAGCAGTGTGCCTTTTCTGGGTTGTTATTAGCCTGAAACATTTAATACTATTAAGAGTTTACAAAAGGACACTCTTTCCCATCTTTAACTTGTGATATGCTGTCCTAAAACTTTAATATACCCACCATGGTATTATTTTGATCTGTACTTACTGTTTTAAATGTACTGTATATTGGAACACAGCAGGTAGAAAACTAGTCTGGAATACTTTCTAATTGTTTCTTTTGTTTCTTTTCTTGTTATCAGAAAATGTTTTAGTATCTAGAGACTGAAATGGAATAAATGATGCCTAACATATTTAAATTTTGCCTTTGAAAGAACAGTGTAGTGTATTAAGTCATATACGACGTTATATATTTTAACACTATTAAGGGATTCATGACATTTCTTTATCAGAAACTTACAGCTTACCTTGACCTCAGCCTGAATAAATGCTATGTCATTCCTCTGAATACGTCAGTTGTTATGCCACCTAAAAACTTCTTGGAACTGCTGATCAACATCAAAGTAAGATTAAAATGGAAGAGTTTATTTGAATATATTCAGTAATCCTTATCTTTATTAAACTAATTTATATCCCAGTTGGTTAGAATGACCTGTGAATCTAATTTTATCCTGTTGTGATCTGCAGTATATTAGTTGATTCCTTTGTATAGTTTCTGATATGGTGCTTGTTTGTTTCATAGTCAGAGCAAGTAAAATGCAAAACATCCCATCAGATTATTTAGTTAAACCTCTTAAGATGCTGTTGAGAATAACCTTCATCTCTCATTTACATTAACATTTTACTACTGTATACTAAACCCATTTAGTAATAACCCCTCCCAACAAATCAGATCTTATGTGCCAGTTGCTGTTTTTTTATTTATGGTCCAAGACCAACGAACATGAAAACATGTACAGTTTTTAAAAAATTATATAAATTACATAAAAACAAAAGACAACCAAAGCTGTGAAGAAGGCCCCATGGGCTAAAGCTACAGGTAATAATTTTGCCATTGCCCTTAATACATTGAGAAATTGGTCACTTAAAAGGAAAGCAGCAATCTTGTGATGAGAGAAATCAAACTTTGTAAAGCCAGGAGTTATACGTTTTAATTGCCATTGTGTATAGAGTGGACATTGTAATAGAACATGTGATATAGATTCAATCTCCATGTTTGAACATGTACAAATATGATTTTCATTTGAGCGGTTGAAATATCTTTCAGTTGTCGCCCTGTTGGGTAGTATATCAATTTGGGTCAGAGAAAAAAAAGCCTCTTATGTGAAGCATGCATGATCATAAAAAAGAAAAAGTAGCCAGGGAGAGTCCAGGAGAATGGAGCAATTCTTCTGTTATAGAGATGGGAGATTTTGGCCCTGACTGACTTGATTATCCAAGTCCCAGAACCTCTGGTTGAGTTCTGCTAAGGTTTTATTGAGGCCTAAAGTAAGTACTGTAGAGCTGGTATTGGCAGACCACAATTTGCCTTTGCAGGATGGATACAAATCTATTGTTCAGGATTAAGATGAACGAAGAAGGTCCCCCAAAAGATTTGCCTTGCTTAAGACCTTAAGCAGCCTAGTCTTGCATGAGCCCTGAGTCGTAGCCCAATTCTAATTGCATTACAGCATTAGAGGTCAAGTGAGGGATGTGTGTATTGTTTTTAGAAACAGCTTGCAAAGAGTAGAAGTTGGATATTTTCTTAGAGGTACACACCTGGGTATCATATAGTGGCATACCCAATACTTTGGCCTTGAATAGCTTAATGGTATGCCATTTAGATTTTAAAAACCCTTCAGTTGGCACCCTGGAAGCTTTTTTTAGGAGACAAACTTCTCTGGCAAAGGACATTTTACCAACTTGTTTAAGAGACTCTTGGTTCTCAGTCCATGATTTAAACTATAATCCCTTCAAAAACATTATGCTACTTCTCTCGAAGTTTGTTTCTTATGATGTACATTCTACAGAGGCAAAATTATAGATGCAAACTAATATAAATTCATATAAATTGAATTAATAATAAGTAAAATAAAAGTTAATGCAACAAATTTAATATTTTTATTTTAAACACTTCCATATTTATATTGATTTATGTAGGCTGGAACATACTTGCCACAGTCATACTTGATTCATGAACAGATGACAGTTACTGACCGCATTGAAAATGTGGATCAACTGGGTTTTTTCATTTATCGCCTTTGTCGTGGTAAAGAGACTTATAAATTGCAGCGCAAGGAAGCACTGAAAGGTATGGCATAAACATAGATGGGATCATAAAGATAGCTATAATGAATATTTCATTTCCACATGAAATTATGGAAAAGTAGTATTTCAGTCTGTATGCTTATATTTTGATGGACTGTTATAACATCTGGTACAGGTAGTCCTTGCTTACCGACACTAATTGGGACTGGGAACTCAGTCACTAAGCAATGCGGTCATAAGGTGCAATATCATGTGACCCCACTGACTTACGACAACAGTTCCAGCCGTTCCAGTGGCTGGTGTTAGGCGAATCCTGCGTGGTTGCAGCATTCTACAGTCACATGACCACCATTTGCAACCTCCTGCTGGCTTCCTCATTGACTTTGCTGGTTGGAAGCCAGCAGTGAAGGCCACAAATGGTGATCATGTGACCATGGGACGCTGCAATGTCATAATTGTGAGCTGGTCACCAAGCATCCAAATCACGATCATGTGACTGTGGGGATGCTGTGATGGCTGCAATTACGAGGACCCATCATAACTTCGAATGGTCGCTGAACAAGTGGACATTAAATGAGGACCACCTATATTGTGAAAAATCTCCATAAAAATCTCCATGCCTGTTGTAGCACCTAATTTTTAATGTTGCAGGTGTGCATGTTTAATATATGCAAAGCCTTAGAACTGAGATTTGGTGCTTTTAAACATTGCCTGTCAGATGGCAATGTCAATAATTCTGTGCCTAGCACAATGTTCTGGTTAGAAGGAAATGGTTCTTGATGAATTATGAATGTACTCTGTAATAAAAAGAAATGATATACCTATGGCTAAATTACTTGTTTTAATACTGTGTTAATTTTACCAATATTACTTTCATATATTAAAACATTTGTGTACATTTTGCCCACAAATGTTTGGTAAACATGAACTCATTTGTGTACTACTATTCACCTTGATAAATTAAGCATGTGGTTAAACTTATCAAGATTAATGGAATTTAAACGTATTTGATTGAAAGCTTGAACATGTCCAGTAGGTTTAAATGGGGTGCGTTATCTTACAGTAGTATTGCTTGGGACAGTACAAAGAAGAAACTTGAAATGAAAACTAAAGATTTGATTACTTATTTAACTTATTTACGTTAATTATTTCCTCTATTTATTTGATTTCTCTCTAACTTAGATAGAGAGGGTCTGAAGGTTGTACTTTGGAACTTCAAAGCAGACCCCACTGTGCTCCATGAGGCTTAGCCCAATTAGACAGTTACAGGCATAAGTTGAGGCACGCTTGGTCCACTGTTATGTTCCAGTAATCTCTAAGTGAATGGAAGCTGATAGGCCCTCTTCATGATACAAACTTAAACTCAGTATCTTTCTGCAAGTTTGAGTGCATACTTAAAATAAGAAACCAGTGAACATAGCAGATGGATAAAGTTGAATATCCTTCCAGCTGAGAACAGTGCTACTTTTTTTTAAAACCATAATGCTGTTACTTAGGCCCACCTGTCTTCCTATGGCTAATAGGGGGTGCTGTGTCATGGTGTGGGTGTGTGCAGGCTGGGGAGGGGGTGTTGCAGTGCCATGCAAGTGCATGCAGCGCTGTGTGAGTTCGCCTGGGTGGGGGAGGGTTGCTGTGGCATGAGCGCGCATTATGGAGTATGCGGAGTATGCATCATACTCCGTTGCGGGGTTCCTCGGGAGAAAAAGTGGCAGGAATGACTTAGGGGAGTGACTTGCAACCTTTCCTGCTGGCTTCCCCATTGACTTTGCTTATGGGAAGCTAGCAGGGAAGGTTGCAGATGGTGATCACATAATGATGGGATGCTGCAACAGTCATAATTGTGAGCATTGTAATCACATGACCGTGAGGGTGCTGTGACGGCGAGAACTTCAAGGACTGGTTGTAAGCACCACTTGTTCAGCGCCGTCGCAACTTTGAACGGTCGCTGACTGGTAGTTAAACAATATCTACCTATACTCAAATATTATTTTTCTTGTTATTTCAGTATAGAATGAGGTCACTATTCTTTTGCAGTTTTCTTTCTTTTATTCAATAGGCTAATTTAGGGGTGGGTGGGGTAGGCTATGTCTGTTGAGTGGGAGGATAATGACCTTAAATGAGAAATCTACATGCTTAACAAAATATACAGTCAGGTCCAGAAATATTGGGACATCGACACAATTCTAACATCTTTGGCTCTATACACCACCACAATGGATTTGGAATGAAACAAACACAATGTGCGTTAACTGCAGACTGTCAGCTTCTCTTGTAATTCCTACACCGTTCACCTGAGTTGGATGTACATACCCTCAAATTAAAGCTGACAGTCTGCAGTTAACGCACATTGTGTTTGTTTCATTCCAAATCCATTGTGGTGGTGTATAGAGCCAAAGATGTTAGAATTGTGTCGATGTCCCAATATTTCTGGACCTGACTGCTCTTGTAATTCCTACACCGTTCACCTGAGTTGGATGTACATACCCTCAAATTAAAGCTGACAGTCTGCAGTTAACGCACATTGTGTTTGTTTCATTCCAAATCCATTGTGGTGGTGTATAGAGCCAAAGATGTTAGAATTGTGTCGATGTCCCAATATTTCTGGACCTGACTGCTCTTGTAATTCCTACACCGTTCACCTGAGTTGGATGTACATACCCTCAAATTAAAGCTGACAGTCTGCAGTTAACGCACATTGTGTTTGTTTCATTCCAAATCCATTGTGGTGGTGTATAGAGCCAAAGATGTTAGAATTGTGTCGATGTCCCAATATTTCTGGACCTGACTGCTCTTGTAATTCCTACACCGTTCACCTGAGTTGGATGTACATACCCTCAAATTAAAGCTGACAGTCTGCAGTTAACGCACATTGTGTTTGTTTCATTCCAAATCCATTGTGGTGGTGTATAGAGCCAAAGATGTTAGAATTGTGTCGATGTCCCAATATTTCTGGACCTGACTGACTTTTGGTCCCTTAACAAGTGGGAGGCACATATGCAAACTGTTGTAATTCCTACACCGTTCACCTGAGTTGGATGTACATACCCTCAAATTAAAGCTGACAGTCTGCAGTTAACGCACATTGTGTTTGTTTCATTCCAAATCCATTGTGGTGGTGTATAGAGCCAAAGATGTTAGAATTGTGTCGATGTCCCAATATTTCTGGACCTGACTGTACATTGTGTTTTTTCAATGCATATTTTTTCATATAAGACAACATATAAACATTTTCTTTGTAAAATAACTTGATATTTGTTCATTCTCCCATAATAGGCATTCACAAGCGTGAAGCAGGTAATTGCCGAATAATTCGACACTTTGAGAACAGATTTGCAGTGGAAACACTTATTTGTGAAGAATAATAAGGAATGCTACTATAACAGAAGATTAAAAAGATACTTCAATCCATCCTTTCTATTATGTGCAGTGATCTCTGTTTTAAAACATTTATGTAATGAGTAGACAAGGCTTTATAGCTGAACCCAATTACTTAATCTCATGAAACATCTTTATATCATATTTTGAAGTATGATGTTATTTTTATGTTGGTATTTCACATAATAAACCCTGAAATATCAGGAGATAAATAATACATCCAATATTACAATAAATTTGGATAAAATAATTCTGAGTTAAAAGTTTTTAAAAAGTGTATAGATAAATTGCAACTTTTGAGGTTTTTCACAGTGTATTAGTGCTATAACTGATTACAGCTTATTAGGAAACATTTTATAATAAAGGTGGAATTTATTGTGTGTGTTTTGAAACAGTCACACTTAAATTTCACTTCCGATTGGCTGTGCTAATATGTCTGCTGTACAAACTCCAGCAGTAATTTCATGTTACTGACTTGTATATAAGCTATATGTATGCAAAGGAAAATAAATATTATAAATCTGTTTGTCTAAACATTTTTGTTAAGTTCTTTCCTATGAACTCTTTCTCTTAGAATTGTATTCTGGAAATTACTAGTAATTACTAGACTACTAATCTTGGAATTGCTTTATTTGTATAATGATTTAGAGTAGAACTGAAACACTTTCTAAAAAAGTAAATGTTAAAATACTATGATCTTGTTTTGTTTTGTTATACTAAGGGTTGTCATTTCTTTATCATTTAGTTGTAAATTCAAGTAGCAAAGAATTGGTTTTTCTCATAATCGTTTCCTCCACTCTCTCTATGAGTGGGAGGAAATGGGTCAGGCACAGAAGTAATTGCCTACAGAGATTGCTTTTTTTTTTCTCCCACCCACCCACAGAGCAGAGAGACTGGAGAGGAAGGGATTACAAGTGAGTAAGCAGGCACACAGTGGGAAATACACTGGGCTGTTTGTGTAGCGTCCTTGCGGCTGCCAATGCTAGCACACTGCTTTCGATGTGTATTCCCCATTGTGTGTCTCCTTACTCTCTTGTAATCCCCCTTCTCCAATCTCTTCACTCTGCAAGGGAGGAAAAGAAGAAAAACAACAGGTCAGGCACAGGACAGCACATACTGACTGTAATGGAGACTGTTGTAAATGTGGGCATTGGTCATAAAATTATTTTTTCAGCACCGTTGTAACTTTGAATGGTCGCTGAACAAGGCAATCACTAAGTGAGGATTACTTATATTGACGTGGATTTCATGAAGAAAGTGTTCTGAAGAACTGAAAAAAGAACAAAATCCAAATATAGTTTATTATGGTCACAGACCAGAGATAAATAAAAGCATGTTAAAAATAAGAATAAAAACACAAAATAGGGTAAGAATGTTACAATTAGTGGTGGGTTCATTAGTCAAGATATGTCTAATTTTACAGGCAGTACAGTATATTAGCATTTGGCTATGTTCAAGGGAACTAAATCACACCAATCTGATAACAATTGTACATAAAAAAAGTTTCCTGGGTGTTTTACCAGGTAAGGCAGGTCCTAAAATCCTTATAGAGGGTACAGTGTAACAGGACACAAGGTGTAGTTTCAATAGCCCCTTATCCCCAGGGGCACAGTCTAGCTCATAGGGAACTTTTATCAGCCCTCCAAAACTGCTGGGGGAAGAGCATTTGAAACATGCTAAAGTTAGTGCTCTTCGGAATTTGGAGATTGTCATATGGTATAAATATCTTGCTGGTTTGAAAAAGGGGCTTGAACAGCTATGTCAAACTGAAAGAGCCCTCCATCCTAACTCATGCAGTACTTTGAGCCCTGCCAGGGCCCTTCTGTGGTAACGAACTGTCTAACCCTTAAAATTACTGGGATTTCCGATTTGAACTAAACTTAGTCTCAAATTCCGGTTTCTTCTACCTGAACGTTTGTTCACTTTGATTTCGGATCATACGAAACCTTGCTAAAAGTGGATAGGAAGCTGAAGACGTGGGATTGGGTTAGGATTCCCATAGAACCAAGCCTGGTTGACTTAAACCGGGTGATGCAAAGCGAAGACGCTCAAGTCTTGCATGGGAGTGCCCGGGAAGGATACCAGCTGCAGTCCAGCAAACCTAGCGAAAGGAGTCGACAGCAGTAATTATTGGCATAATTATCACAAGATCTACTGTTCACTATAAAAGCAGTCACTAAACATTGTCAGCAGTTATTGGCTGCCTCTGGGGAGCCGCCGGGGCTCGACCAGGTGGGCTAGAAGAGCGTAGCGACATGCGCTCCTGCCGCTCAAAGCAACTTTGAGAGCTGCCTGTTCTTCCCGGCTGGCCGCCGAGCCTCCTGAGAGCCACTGAGCGCAGGGTCGGCTTTGCCGGCGCAAGGGCTGGTTAGATTCATTGCTTCTCTCTTCTTCCCTGTTCCCGAAAATGCTGCAGAGATAGAAATGTTGAGAGTTACAGCCCGGGCTCGCTCGTCACTCCGAGAAAATGGGGTTAGTTTGGACAGGCTCCGTGGGTGCGAGGCGGGGGAATCGTAGAGACGCGGTTTACGATTTCGCCCACTGGGAACCGGCGCAGCGCCTCGCGCCCGGGAAGCCTCGGATGAGCGCGAGCCGCGGCTGCCGACTTATCTCTACGGGAGGCTCTCGCCGGAGCGCTTCACCAGAAGTGACGTGCGGGGGGCGTGAGGCTTTTTCCCGCGGTTTGGGAGACGGGCGGGGATGCTTTGAGGAGGGCGGCCGCGGCGGTGGCCG